GGACTCCCTCGGAAGCGGGGTCTGCCCGGCGGACATGGCTGGGGTCAGGCCGCGAGGTCCGAGCGAGAGGCGTCCCACCAGCGACGGGCAGAGGGGACCGGTCCGTGTGCTGCTCTCGGGACGGCTGCGGGGACTCGTGGAGCCCAGCTTCTGCCAGGATCCTGTGCTGGATCCAGATGTGGTGCAATTTTAATCGCTGCTGCTCATCAGCCAGGGCTTGAACTCCAAAACAAGAATTTCGTCATGGTGACTGGTCCCAGCCGAGGACGCTCCTTGCCCTGCCGCGCTGTTTTTTTACCGGCAGTTTCACCTGTGTTCTTCAGAAGCTCTTGTAAAATGTTTGGTTTTGCTGAGGGTTTGCCTTTTCCTCGTGATCATGGGAACGTTCGCGTTTGTTTGCTTCAGCCTTTCTCCTCTGGCGTGTGGCATCCCCCAATAAACACCAGAGGCAGTACGCTTGTGTGGTTTTCTCTCTGACCAAAGAGTTTCATGTTGCGACAGGACTCCTCGTTTGCTGAGATCTGAAGGTGTTACCTGGCTTTCTCTTGCCCTTTGAAGTTCTGCATTTAAAGGAGCCAAAGCCAACATGCAGCCTGGTCTCCTGTCCTTCTCACCCCTCTCCCACCCCCAAACTCTTCGAAAATTTGGATCGTTTGTGAGCTTGGCAGGAGGGTGGAGGAGGTCTTGCCAGTGTGAGGTGGTTGGGTGGCAACAAGGCTGGGTCAGGCTCCGTGTGACCGTCTGATCCAGCCGGGGCTGTGAAACACACGGGCTTTTCTTGGACACCACCTGTGGGAACGAGCCCATTCCCAGCAGCGTGGCAGGAGAGAAAGAGGCACGTGGGTTGAACCTGGATGCCCTTCTCCTCTGTCCTACTGCTGGGGCTCCTGGGGTTACAGAAGCAGTCGGCCCCATTAGAGCGGAGCAGACTTTCGGGCTCAGCTGATGTTAGGAGACCATTCCCTTCCCCTTTCTCTTCCTAAGCCCTTTCCCTGCTCATGTTGGCCAGCCTGGGACATTCCCTAGCTAGTCCTCCGCTGACTGACTGCTGCTTCCAAGCACACCACTGCCCTCCACCTGTGCTTCCTGGTCCTCCGAGGTGGTCCCAATGCTGTGGTGTCCTCCAAGGTGGTCCCAGTGCTGTGGTGTCCTCCAAGGTGGTCCCAGTGCTGCGGTGTCCTCCAAGGTGGTCCCAGTGCTGTGGTGTCCTCCAAGGTGGTCCCAGTGCTGTGGTGTCCTCTGAGGTTGTCCCAGTGCTGTGGTGTCCTCCAGGGTGGTCCCAGTGCTGTGGTGTCCTCCAAGCTGGTCCCAGTGCTGTGGTGCCCACAGCTGGTGCTGTCATGGCAGAGACATGCACAGCCCTAAGTGCTTTTGGAGCATCCTACAAGGGATGGCGTGGAAGAAGAAAGGGCGATCATCACCCCTCCAGCTAATTCAGAGCCAATTCCTCAGTATCCGTGATGCTGGAGTCAGCCCTGCAGCCTTTACTGTTGTCTGGACTGGCCAGGGATCCACGGGTTGCTTTTAAGGTGTCTCCAAAAGCCAACTGAGACCATGGGAAGAGCAAGACCTCAACCGCTGTCAAGCCCTACCTCTCCACAAAAGCAGAGTATTTTTGATGACATGTAAATTTAGAGCCAAAAACTCCTGGTGTGGTTTGACCTCTTGCTCAGGAGACCTTGAATCACATCCCTGGTCAACCGCAGACTCGCTTTGCGATCCGGATGAGTCATTCCACTTCTCCCATGCTCCGTTCCCTGTTTGTAAATGCTGGAGACACAAATGCAGCAGCCGCTGAGGAATGTCACAGCGCTGCCAGCAAAGGCATGCAGCTGCCTGCACGGGGATATGGTTTGGGCAATGGTTAAATGTTCTAGCGAGCTGTGAAGGGACTTGAGATGGCGTTGAATGAAAAGACATCTACTTCCCTCAGAGTCACCCCAATCCAGCTGCCTCTGTGTAAACTTGCCTCCAGTGAGTGACTCCCGACACGAGGGCAGCGTGAGGAGGAGAAAAAGGCTGCTGGATGTCTGCAAACGCCGTCGCTGAAACAAACAGACACCGAGAAGCCCTTGTCTTTTGTTCCTACGTTCACCCCAGCAATCAGGGGAAAATCCTCCTGGGCTGGACATAATTTCTGCCTTCTGCTGGAGGAGCAAAAACATTTTACGTGCCCTGAAATAAGTTTTGATTACTTTCATCATGATTCCCCCACCCCCTCCGTCTTAAAAGTCTCTTCTAAAGCGCAGTGAAAACACGGAGCTGAGAAGTGTTTGACGGAACGTATGGGAAGGAAATGCTTTGCTTTCCTGTGTCCCTGAAGTTCTCTCGTTCTGTGGCTGAAGACTTTTCCTAAGCTCAGTGCGTGTTGACTGACATTGCTGCCGAAATGAGCCTTTTCCTCACAGCATTCAAGGCTTCCCTGTATTCCTACCCACTTATTTTCACAGAATCATGGAAGGGTTTGGGTTGGAAGGGACAGTTAAAGGTCATTTTCCTTCATTAGGGCTTTGAGTACAACGATGTTGTTTGAGATCCCTGCAGTCCAAAGCTGCCTGTTGCGTTTGAGCCAGGTGACGATGTTGAGATCCAAATCCCGGTTTGATTTCCTAAACTTGGCTGGAGACACGTCTGTGACTCAACGAGCGCGTTATCTAAACACGGGTGCTCAGGACTTGAGCGTTGTGCTGACTTCATGCATCTCCTCCCAGCGTGGCTGGGAACGTGAAAACACTCTGATCACAGCGTCCCGCCCACGGGGAAAAAAAACCAGACCAACAAAACCCCCCAGAGAAACGTAACCGCGTATTTGGTAACGCCGAGGGAGGCAAGGGAAGACGTTGTTCAATGTGTGCGCGTCTGTGCGTGCGCGTACACGCGATCGTATCTGTGGTAGCTGCAAACCCACGTCACCCTGCTGAGCCTTGCGCTGCAGCAGGCAGCGGGGGAACGTCTGTGACTGGTAAATCAGCAGCAGAGCGTGTTCGTAGCCCAGGTCTGCGGAGACGGTGCTGCCAGGTCTTCCTCGCCATTTGCCTCTGCTCTAGATGGGAAGGGCTGTTGGCAGATGGCTCTTGCCTTCCGGCCCAGAGAGGGGATCCGATGTCACCGAGACTTCTGGCCCGTGGTTGCAGGGATGTTTGAGGTGGTGCTTCAAAACCTCCCAGGCTGGGCAGGTGTTCATCCCCGTTGTGGCATTCAGGAGCCAAAGTCTTGACGAAGACCAACAAGCCGTAGGGGACCTCCTCAGCCCACATATTGTCTGTAAACCGTGCTCCACAACCACCAAACCCCCCGTCCTCCCCATCCCTCCAGTCTCATAGTGATTTGTTGCTATCATATACTTTTTTTAGCTGCATCTCTCTCCTGGTCTGCTTCCCCACGTGCTGATGGATCCAGGCTGGTGCTGGGGAGGGAGGTGGGGCGAGCGGGCTGTGGAGGGACAGCTGTGTTTTTCACTGGAAATGCCAGTTTAGCGGCATGTTGTGCCACAGCCCAGGTCCCTAGGCACTTTTGAAAATGGGTGTCTGGGCAATATTTTTAGAGGTATTTAAACATCTGAAGACGTCGAGAGTTGCTAGTGTGGATTTTCAAGAAGCACTTAATTGCCTGTGTCCTGTGGGAACTTCTGAGAACCTTGTTAGACAGCTACCAGCACAGTTAGACACCTTAATAGTCATAAAGGTTTTTGGATTTCAAAATTTCATAGAATCATGGAATGGTTTGAGTTGGAAGGGACCTTTGCAGGCCATCCAGTCCAACCCCCTGCAGTGAGCAGGGACATCTTCACCTGGATCATGTCGCTCAGAGCCCTGTCCAACCTGACCTGGAATGTTCACAGGGATGGGACATCAACCACCTCTCTGGACAACCCGTGCCAGGGTTTCACCACCCTCACCTTCTTAGGTGGCTTTAAAAATGCCACTCTGATTCTGCTGCTGTTGGGGATAATGGAAAACTAATAACAATAGAAAAAAATTCCCAGTAAAATTAAAAAAAAAAGCGACAGTAATTGTTATTTGATAAGCAAGCTTCCACCAGACAAAAACATGAATGCACGATGGGTCATAGACTGATTATTGCAGGTTTGACTCGTAAGCGAATGCTTTCGCAGTACGGCAGCAACACCAGGGTATTCCGATGAGCTTCTGCCTCTCTAAAATCTGGTGACTTCTTTCAAATCAGCTTCAGGACACCTGCCCCTGTCCGCGAAGGAGGCTCAACGCGGTGTGTCTGCCTCCAGAAATGTGTTTGCGTAGGAACACCGGAGTCAGCCAGGTAGCTGCAACACATGCCTTTCCCCAAGTGAAAGTCACTGTGCCCTCTGTCCTCCTCATCCCTCCGTGTCCCTACAAGCCAGCCGAGCTCACTCGCATCCTCTGCCCAGCTAACTGCATTTAAACAGTTGCAGGGTTTATGATGTGGGCAGCAGGATTTTGCATGCCTCCTTCTCTCTGTCTGTTCTCAGAGTCATCCGTCCGTCTGTCCACACTGCCCACCTTAGCAACTGGGTTCCTGTTGTCTGCTCTGGCTCTTCTCATGGTCTTGAAGCCTTCAGAATCCTGAAAGGATTTCCCATGTGTGATCTTTGTGCCATTTCTCCACGGTTTCTGAGACTACTTCGGCACACAGACCCCAGAACTTGCTTTCAGCAAGTTTGGTCCAACAATAAACGAATTTCCAGTGCCAACCATTGCTCCGGTATCTCGATTCCTGTAAGGTTTTATTTATCGAAAAGACACAGAGCCTCATCAAAATGCAATTTGCTGAGTCCCGGCTCTAGATTGAGAAACAGCTTCTCAAAGCCAAGGGCAATTTTCCATGTAAAAAGGAGACTAAGGGTGTAACATAGGTGTGTTTTGGGAATTGTGAAAGCCGTGCTACAACTTGGCAGGAACCACAGCGCTTGCCTGCCATGGGGCTTTGGAGTGAAAGATGGAAATAAAGATAACCATAAGCAGGGAAACAACCACAATGGATGAAAGGTGAAAAAAAAGACAGGTATATCCTAGGGAGACTGTTACTGTACCACAAGAGCATAAGGCTCCTTAGTCACTGAGTGCTACCAGGTGGTAGACACGGTTGTATCTTTTTTAATTTTCTCCTGCGTTCTAGGGTGTGTTTCTGGGTAGGGTCAATGTTTGGCAAATTGAAGATGAAAATCTGTAAACCACACCACGCTGATGAAGACAGTAACTGTCTCCTCCTTCACGCCCATGCAAACCCAGCCCACCTCCAGGAACAGATAAAAGAGAGCAGGTGCTGCCCTCCAGCCAGAGGGACTCACTGCCCTTCTCTCTGCACTTGACTCCTTGCAGCCCAACTCCGTTCATCTTTCTTTTCTTCTCCAATTTTGACTCTGCTTGGAAGAAACAGCCATGTCTCGGCAGTCTGTCTGCAGGAGCTTTGGAGGCGGGAGTAGAAGGGGCTACAGCTCTTGCTCTGCCATCGGTGGGGGCTTTGGAGGAGGGGGCAGCAGAAGCAGGAGCAGCTACAGCTCGTTCTCTATGTCCAGGGGATTTGGAGGTGGTGGACGTTGTGGAGGCTTTAGCAGCAAGAGTCTCCATAACATAGGTAGTGGTGGCAGAATTTCCATGGGTGGATGCTATGGAGGTGGGGGATACGGAGGCAGAATGGGTGGTGGCTTTGTTGGAGGCTACGGAGGAGGGCTAGGCAGCTTTGGTGGAGGTATGGGTGGCTTTGGAGGAATGGGTGGTGGTGGAGGAATGGGTGGCTTTGGTGGAGGAATGGGTGGTTATGGTGGAGGAATGGGTGGTGGAGGAATGGGTGGTGGAGGAATGGGCGGCTTTGGTGGCCCAGGCTTTGGCATGCCAGGCTTTGGTGGCCCTGGTAGAGGTGGCCCTGGAATCCAGCCAGTGCAGGTTGACCCAACCCTCCTACAGCCAGTCCGTGTTGAGATTGATCCCCAGATCCAGCAAGTCAAAAACCAGGAGAAGGAACAGATCAAGACTCTGAACAATCAATTTGCCTCTTTCATTGACAAGGTGAGAATTTAGGACTATGTCTGATTAAGGGTTAGATTTGGGAGGAACTTTCCAGTTCTGCAGAACTGTTGTCCTTCTTGAGCTGGATATCAGCAGGCTGAGAAACTCAAGCAGAGGCTTTTCATGAAGTACTGCTAGGGAAGGGATGAGAATCTCCCTTCCATACGAGATCAAAGCTCTGTCTTCAGGGCTTTAACCTAACCTGCTGCACCAGGCTCAACTAACAGGTTACTCTTGCAAGCGGGCTCAACGTCTCCAAACAGCTTCAGGTTTCAGGCACAAAATTTCCTTTCTGTGTCATTCTCTTTCCGTATGCCCTCTCCTTTGGGTATTCACTAATACGATTTTTTTCTCTTTGCTCTCAAAAATCCAGACTTTTCAGTCTAGACTAGAAATCTAAGATTTCGATACTACCTGCAATGGGAAGGTGCTTGGAGCTGTTGCTGCCTTTAAAGGCTCCTCTGACTTGAACACAACTTAGAAATTTCCTCCTCTTCCAAATCTCGCAGCCCAGCCAACAACAGAAATTGAAAAATAATGTTAACAGGTTCTCTCATCGTCATGCAAAGGAGCATCTGCTTCCATGATGGATGGGCACCTTGGCTGCTGCCGTTCATCCACACGTGAGTGTGGACGCTCACCCCGTGTGTCGGCTTTCAGGTCCGCTTCCTGGAGCAACAGAACAAGGTCCTCTCCACCAAGTGGGAGCTCCTCCAGCAGCAAGGGCCTTCGGGACCGAGGAAGAACCTTGATGTCATCTTTGAAAGTTACATCCAGAACCTGAGGAGGCAGCTGGACTCCATCCTGTCACAGAGGGGACAGCTGGAGTCAGAGCTGCAGAACATGCAGCAGTACGTTGAGGATTACAAAACCAAGTAAGTGCAGAGACAACCTGACCCAGAAAGCAATGCCAGCAGCTTGGGAGTTGTTTTTCTTCACACACACACACACTTTGTATGGCAACTGTGGAGACAGTATTTTCAGTCTAAATATTTTCTTCTGGTTTTTTTTTTTTTTTTCTTTTAGTTTGTTTGGTGTGGCCTTAGGCAGGAAAATTCAGGAAACTCAGCTTGTATTTTTACTCTCCATAGGTATGAGGAAGAGATCAACAGGCGCACAACTGCTGAGAACGAGTTTGTGGTGCTGAAGAAGGTGAGTTGCATGAGCTGCAAAATGATCGCTTGAATGTCAGGCTTTAGCTGTGCTTCGACAGGACTCCCTCTGGAGTGGGAATCTGGAGAGACTGTGGGATCTGTGGGCTGGCATTTGAAATCCTTTGTTTTTAATTTGCATAATTGCACAACCCCATTACCGCTGTTACCCTCAGCACAGACTGTAATTTCCATGGTCCTGAAGGGTTTCCAAGAGGAAATGAAAGTATTCTTTGTGATCTTTCCTTTAGGATGTGGACTTAGCCTACATGACTAAAGTAGAGTTGGAAGCCAAGGTGGGAGCTCTGACCGATGAAATCAACTTCCTGAGGAGCATCTACGAGGAGGTAAGAGCTCCCCCTTTCCCTGGACTGGCTGGAGTTGCAAGGACTCGTGGTGGCCAAAGACACGGAGGGTGGACGGGGTGGCCATCCGGTTTTGGGCTTGAGAGTCACTTGGGCTGCCTGAAGTTGCTGCTTTTTTCTCCTCAGATGGTCAGGCTAACTCATGTCTTGGTTGCAGGAGCTGTCTCAGATGCAGACAATCAGCCGGGACTTGTCTGTGGTGGTGTCCATGGACAACAACCGTCACCTGGATCTGGACAGCATCATTGAGGAGGTCAGGCGCCAGTACGAGCAGATTGCTCAGAGCAGCAGAGCGGAAGCTGAGGCCTGGTACCAGAGCCAGGTGAGTTGGGAAGCAATTAAGGAACCTGGGTGATGGCTAGAGATTGCAGATTATTTCTGACAAGGTGAGACATCTCTTTAAGCTAACGATGCTGGAGCCCGTGCAAGGAATTCTCAAGAGGAATTGTGCTACTTTTGAGGAACCGGACTAATGGTTTTCAGGGTGTCTGGAATCTCACTTTGCTGCATGGTACAAGCCTCTCAGTAAAGATGGCCAAAAATGTACCTTAAGTAGAAACCTTAAATGTGCCTTAAGTAGCTTTTCAGAAGGGAAGGGATGCTTATTAGTGTCACGAAGGTCTATTTCAAAATTCAAAACCAGTAACTGAGCCTCGGCATCATCTTTTACATTGAGCTGGGCACTCGTGACCAACATGATAGGGGTTTGTAGCAATACATGCGTTATGAAACTGTTGATAGACCTTGTCGAGGCATCAGGAATGTTTCACTGAAGGTTTGCTTTCTCTTGGTGCTGTCAGTACGAACAGCTGCAGAGCACTGCTGGAAGGCATGGGGACAGCCTCCGCAACACCAAGATAGAGATCCAGGAGTTGACCAGGAACATCCAGAGGCTGCGGGCTGAGATTGAGAATGTGAAGAAGCAGGTACGGGTTGGCTAATGTCTTATGGGATGCTGGAACCAGCTTGGATCAGGAACGACCATGCATGGGGCAGAAATGGTTTGATCAACCAATGCTTGTTCACTTTGTGTAAATGTTACCCTTTTTTTTCCCTTGAGTCCTCCATTGGGGCTTGAGGGCTGATCCTGAGTGACCAAATGAGATCTGAGAAAGTGCCTTTTTTTACCCCTCAGAACCAGCAGCTGCAGGCAGCTATTGCTGAGGCTGAGGAGCGGGGTGAGATGGCCCTGAAGGATGCCAGGATAAAGCTGGAAGAGCTGGAATGTGCCCTGAACAAAGACAAGGAGGAGCTGGCTCGCTTGCTGAAGGAGGACCAGGAGCTGCTGAACACCAAGATTGCCCTGGACGTGGAGATTGCCATGTACAGGAAGCTGCTGGAGGGAGAGGAGAACAGGTGAACACTTGAACTTTGGTTTGAGAGGGATGTCGTGATCTGGGCTGGACATGTGAACTTCTGACATTAACGGTCTAATCTCAAACCAGCTCTTTCGGTTAAAATGGGTTGAGATGGCCACTGGCACTCTGGGTGACATTTTGGGTGGTCAGGACTGGTAACCACCATACCCTGTTCACTACAGGTGGTGTAACTACCATTTCTTTTGTTTCGTGCAAATTATTCACTGAACCTGAACGCTAGAAGAATCTCATCATAAAGAAGAATTGTCAATGCCTTCCCTCCTTAAATGTTTTATTGATACAGAAATTGCGGATAGGGATGAAACAGGAGAGTGGTTTGATAATGCAAATGAAGTTCTCTGTTTTCAAGCTGTCTCTTTTGTTAGGTAATTAAAATGTACCAATTTCCCTCACAGGCTGTGCAATGATGGCATGTCCAACGTCAATGTCTGTAAGTATCAGTGTCCTTGTGAAGCGGTAGCAGACCACATCTTTTTGGAGCTACAGTCTGCCAGTGGACAACATGCACGTAACCTGTGCTTCTCTTCCAGCTGTGGTAGGCAGGACTACCATCACTGGAGGCAGAGGAGGCATGGGAGGAGGCTTCGGAGGCAGCAGCGGCATGGGAGGAGGCTTCGGAGGCAGCAGCGGCATGGGAGGAGGAATGGGAGGAGGTGTATGTGGAGTAGGAGGAGGCTTCGGAGGTGGAAGCATGGGCGGCAGCTGTGGAATAGGAGGAGGAGTGTACGGCGGTGGCTTCTCTTCTG